ATAGTATTTCGAAAGTTATTAAGCACAAAAGATGAATTGCGTTTATTTTGATACACCCTGTACTTTAAGAACTATTGTTGACATGGGTTGGGTCAGTCACGCTTATTTAATTTAATTTAAACCTGTTTTTTCCGTTTTGTCGTAACAGTCGTAAAGATTGAGTCACGATCTTTCTCATCAGTCGAAATATAACATTTTAGAACTGAAAATTTGCGGAGTGATTATAACTGGAGAATATATATGATTTATATGTGGTTTACAGATATAAACTATTGTAAACTGGCCGTTGAGAAAGATTGTGACTCTGTTTTTACGACCATTACGACCATATGGAAACCAGGCTTTAATAAATATTATTTCTCAATTATTTCCTTTGGCTGTTCGTAATGGTGGGATTCTACTGTGTGTTCAACGCTGTGACCAACGCTGGACCTATACAATGTTTTATTATTTTTACTGTATTGCTTTGCCTTAGGAAGCACAAGACTTTGGCATTAGTTAAAGACAACAGGCCCATCGGTGGCATTTGTTTTCGTATGTTTCCAACCCAGAATTTTACAGAAATTGTCTTCTGCGCAGTAAGCTCAAATGAGCAAGTAAAGGTGAGACTTCATAATGTTCTATACCGAAAGTCGTGGGTTTTCTCCGGGTTCTCTGGTTTCCTCCCACAGGGAATGTTGACAGAGTGGGTTGAGATTAGCCCCCTAGCTGACCCTTCCCGGCTTCCACCGTAGCTGTGCTCCCATGACCAGACATGAGTCATATGTCATGAGTCATTTAGCGAGTTTGAGTTCGCGATGTTCGCGAGTTTGAGTTTGAGTTCGCGATTAGTTATCATAATTACTATTTTGGAGGTGAGTGCCCTGCATGGGACCTTTTATAAGAGTCCCGTTCGTACCTTACATTTTTGGATCTACATTTGATATCTAGGTTATTTTAACTTAATGTAATATGTGTTCTCTTATGTTCTTTTGTTTGTTAAAAATTGTGAATATCGATCCAAATAAATTTGTTAAATTAAATAAGGTGGCTAACAAAGGCGCCCTTAGTACACCTTCGACTAGATCAGGTTGAGCTGCGTCCTTCGCAATTTAGCTTAGCTCTCAGCTACAAGTAAGGATGGTCAGCACACCCCACTTACTACTTACTTATTGTATAAAGGCGGTCGTAATTACTTTGCTTGAAGTTAATTTCGAGAGAAAAAAGAAGGACAACCATTTTTCGAATCGGTCTATGTTATATACTATATTTTGTTATCCTAGGGTTATGGAACGCATTTGATGAATCATCTCAAAGATTATCACATTCAACATGGGGTACTCAATTTCCTAACTTATGCGGACGAATTTGCCATTGGCTATTTTAAGAAGCAGGTAAGTACTTAATAATGCAGCAGTTTTAATAATGCAGCAGTTTTTAATGACTTTCGAATGGTATTTAAAGATTTGCCACGTATACTATCATGTAAAAGCTGAACTTTCACCATTATTGGTTACTATAGATTTGCCATTTGGTAAATTGGTAAAAAGTCACGATGTTTAATATTTACCATTAAAAAACTCATTAATAATTCAGGAGGAAAACACAAAGAAAAATCGTAAGCGTGTCGTATCTTTATATGTGATAAAAAATCATGTTAATTTCCATAAACTTTAGCTTTGATTTTCTCGGTTTACACAAAGTTTATTTTAAAAATTACTTCGCCAATCAACTCATATAAGATGAATCGTTTTTTTAAACCATTTAAAGCACTTGTAGTCGTGTTTTATTAGATATAAAACGCTCGGCTGCGCCTCGCGTTTTATATCTGATAAAACACTCCTACGCGTGCTTTAAATAGTACCTAATGGTATTTTCCTGCATGGTAGATATTAAACATCATGGTTTTTACTAACTTACCATATGGGAATCTATAATAACCAATAATATTGAAAGAGTTCAATTTTTACATTCAAAAATCCACCGTGACCACCCCAGGACAGCAATGGTTGTTTTTGGTGTTTAGACTGATTCAATATCAGAGTTTCCACCATAAATCCCAAAAATAAGGGTTCCTGTAGTATTTTATTCAGTACGCCATAAACCTCCGAATACACACTTCAAAACATAAGCGAGCTACCCTCTTGTCATGTATAAGCCAGTGAGCTCCATATATATCTGGAGCGAGAACGTGAAGCCAAAATGGCGGAAATTGACATCTAGTACCAGTCTCCAATTCTCCATTGTATTGACAAAGTTGTTGGGAGAAATCTGCAAGGAGTGTTCCGAAATTTCGTGTTGTTTACTTGTTCGGTTTTATGAACTGATAACTTGATTGGCGATACGATCTGTGTAAACTAGAATTGGCTGGGGAAAATGGTATCTAAATAGACCTTTCCCCTTATGAGTGAAATTTTGATCTTGACAAGCCTGGACAAAAATTTCATCACAGCTTGAAAGAGCATCACAACAGTAGTAATATTTTTTTTAAGTCATTTTGCATTACAAATGGGAAATTGATAATCAGATGATCAAACTGATTGTCAATTTCCCGTTTGTAATACAAAATGACTGTAAAACGGCAAACTTCGCAAGGCTATATTATCCGCATTTTACAACATTTCGCAACGAAACTTCGGAATATTACTAATTTTGTGATGCTCTTTCAAGCTGTGATGAAATTTTTGTCCAGACTTGTCTAGATCAAAATTTCACTCAAAAGGGGAAAGGTCTATTGTTTACGACCTTCACAGATTTTCGACGTCAATTTCCGTCATGTTGGCTTTACTTTTCCCATAGGCTGAGTCGCTGAACTGCTTGTCCCAGATAATTTAGAGCTCACTGATATAAGCCCACCATGTGCATAAGACCATTTGAAATATAATATCCCCGTGTATCAAAAATGGGGGCAAACAAATTAAAGCCCATAGCTTGTATTCAGTTGTTCACGGGATCGGATTTGTGATAGAATAAAATCTTAGGCATACTCTGAATTTAATTGACAATTTGCATGTTAGGCTAAATTTTAATCTGAGTAAAGAGGAGGGAATCAAACACCACAGCTAAAAAGAACACAATGAAATTAGTAAAACTGCAAAATTTGGTTGCGAAATATTGGAAAGCTTGGAAATACAAATCTTTACAAATTTTGTGTATGTTTTGTATTACGTGCAGAAATTGTTACCATTTTCGTCTCAAAAATGGTAACAATTTCCGCACGTAATATCTAAGAAGTATAAAACATTTTCCGTGTTGATATACGGTTATATTAACACAGTGGAAATTGTGAAAACGAGAAATTGTGTGGAAACACGACGCCCGAGGGGCGGAGTGTTTTCACACAATTACGAGATTTCCCTATTTCCACGAATGTTAATATAACTGTATATCAATACGGAAAAAAAAATTATATTTATTTTATGATATAGCATAAAGAAACATAAGGAGAGAAATTTTCCGACGTTTCCGTGTTGACATTAGAGACCTTACGATTTTAGGACGGCAACGCGACGGCCAAAACAAACTCCTTCAAATAAATGGTATAGTAAAGATAGTTCGTCGTATATTATCAATCGTGTGAATTTAATACAGCTTCAGAAGTTGTAGACATGGGTTTTATAGTTGGGAAGAGTTCTGCTAAAACCAGTTTGAAGTTGCACTTGTTGTGGCTTGGAGTGCAGCTGTTGTATCAAGACGTGAAAATCTGTGATTGGCGTTGTGAACAGAGCGAGGACAATGTCTAAATTATTCATATATTGTAATTACTCAATTCTTTTCAATGATCTATTGTATTGGTAGCATAGATATCTTATATACACTAGATATATAGCGCATCTCTTTTAGTAAAATTGAAGCCAAGAATATTCCAGCGGTTACCCCCATTTGAATAGATGGCGGCCATGTTGGAGTTTCCCACTCGCTAATAAACGCTTAAAAACAACAATAACTTTCATCATTTGAACAGTTTGAAAATGTATTTGGAATAAGTTTAACTTAATGTTTAAGTTCCCTGTTTAAGAAATAGAAAACATACGAGTCTTCTCATTTCGTGGGAATATCCTGAGTCTGCGATCACGGCTTCAATTTTTGAATTGCAGAATAATTAAATGCACTATCTATTGTATATATAAGATATCTATGATTGGTAGCTGTTGCCGTCGCGTTGCCGTCCTAAAATCGTAAGGTCTGTAATGAGTTATATCACCACAGCTCTCAGCCAATCAGCGTTCAGAATTACAAATGCTATATTATAAAATAGGCCGTATTCTGTGGCCGATTATCGTTCAGTTCCGCTCCCCCATTCGGGATCTACTTTTAGTTTATATGAATCTATAGATTTTGATACGCTGAGTACGAATTCACTTGTTGTCACTCGCACAGACCCGTAGTTTTTTTGTATTTTACGATCAAACATCAAATTTATTAAAATTTCCGCCATTTTGTTCAGAAAACTTCATGTTATATACAGTTATTGTACTAGTCCAAGTCTCTTAGCAGGGGGGTTGCACGCGGTATTACGCAGTTTGTTATCATTCTTCTGAGAAAAATATACAGAAATAAAATAAAAATATAGATATTTTTCCACAATATAAATGCAAAAAGTACTGCTACATGTTTGTAAATACTTATGAATTAATCTATTATTCTTTATTGCATCAACTTTTGTTTTTTTTGGCTCATCATGATGTGAAATTGCAATGACTGTCACTATATCCAGAAAGACTCTCACTTGTCATTGGTAAAGTTGTTTATTTTATTTATTACTGAAATTATGTACATAATTTTGGCCTTGCAATGTGAATAGGCAATTTTTCTTTGAGATTTTTGTCAACAATGAATAAGGAGCACAATATATTTATTTAATAAATGTTAGACCTATTTGTAGACCATTGCCCATTAATTTATATTAGCAGTTGAACTCAATAAAATTAACTCATCTATTTAATAAATCTGCACATAATTAGTTCCATTTTCTTGTATTATAATAACATTTTTGCTGTTATGGGACGTTGAGTTTTATAAATAAAAACTTTTGGAAGATGACTTTCGCTATACGACAGACAGCCTACTTTTGGTCTGTTTATATATGGGGTTAACCCAACCTAGATTAGCTATATTTATTTAATTACTTTATTGTTATTTAAGTATTTACATTAGCAAATGGTGGCCGCACAGGACATAGCCCCAATTATTACAGCTATCATATAACAACCTAGCTTGGTTATTCAATTTATGTGAGACTGTTGAGGCAAGCATGGGCTTGCTGGAACAAAGCAGCTAAGCAAAAAACTATATTCACACAAGCAAATCTCAAAGTCATGCCATCTAGAAACATTAATTGATCGAACCATTTGAGGTTTAAATGTGTAAAAAATATTAAATACAACATATTGTCATGATCCATCATACCTTAAGCTCTAATCCTATTTGGGCTGCCATTAATTACCAACTGAACTACTGGAGACTCAGGAATATTTTATATTTGACCAGGCAGACAATAGAAATTTAAAGTAATCTGGCATCACTACTTACCAATATGCCTTAGTTATATAAACCTTCTTTCCTCTTGGGCTGGCCTGCCTGGCCAAGACTCTTTCCCAAGCCTTAGATCTTGGGTAACAGCTGGGCATTAAATAATTAATACACAATTCACATCAATCTATTGATATAAATAACATTTCTTTATTTTCTTAGGGAGTGTTTATATGGAGGAGAGCCAGCCCAGATACCTGAGCTAGCTTGCTTTGCCGAGATCTAGCATCGCTATGTAATTTATACTAACATTTATCTTGTGTTTAAATGGGAACCGAGCTGGCCTGCCTAGGTAAGACCAATCATTTGTTTTGGCAAGACAGCCCACCTCAAAAGTCTCATGTAAACATAGGATAAAATCAGCTCAGCAAAGAGAGCTAGCTCGGGTACCTGTATGGGTTCACCTCCATATAAACACCCCATTAGAAGATTTCAAAGTTAAAATTTCTTTTGAAATCTCTCGGAGGGATAAAACCTTGAACTTCAAAACTTTATTGTTGACAAAAATTCCAGCTAGACAGTATCCAGGAAAATTGCCTTTTCATATTGCAAGGCCAAAATTATGTACATAATTTCAGTAATAAATAAAATGAACAACTTTACCAATGACAAGTGAGAGTCTTTATGGATATAATGACAGTCTTTGTAATTTCACATCATGATGAGCCAAAAAACCCAAAAGTTGATGCAATAAAGAATAATAGATTAATTCCTAATTGTTTACAAACATGTAGCAGTACCATTTATATGTAGCATTTATATTGTGGAAAAATATCTATATTTTTATTTTATTTCTGTATATTTTTCTGAGAAGAATGATAACAAACTGCGTAATACCGCGTGCAACCCCCCTGCTAAGAGACTTGGACTAGTACAATAACTGTATATAACATGAAGTTTCCTAAACAAAATGGCGGAAATTTTAATAAAAAAATGTTGATGTTTGATCGTAAAATACAAAAAAACTGCGGGTCTGTGCGAGTGACAACAAGTGAATTCGTACTCAACGTATCAAAATCTATAGATTCATGTAAACTAAAAGTAGATCCCGAATGGGGCAACAGAACTTATTTTCTAAGCGACTTTTGGGGTCGCAGAATACGGCCCAAAACATATACAAAACATGCAAACTTTGCAAGGCTACGTTTTCCGTATTTTACAACATTTCGTAACGAAATTTTACCGTTCTTTATACGGGAATTTACTTTTTTGCCTAGATGAAAAATTAGTCTAACACGCAAGTTGTCTATTTCGTGAGCGACTCAAAGATTTCGTTGTTGCCGCAATTTTAAACGATATTCATTTATTTTTTAGCTAGGTAAATTTACTTGAATCTTATATATGTATTCTTTATTTTTTCAAGGGATTTTCTAAGGAGATCACGTTAGCGCGAACTGATTACCATGGTTATATAAAAGAGTATGAAGGAGCAACCTTGATGCATGTAAGAACAGTGTTAGATTTCTGTCTTATTTTAACACTCACCAACACGTTGTGCTCCACTTTTCAGTGGTATAATATACCCTTAATGAAACAGTGTTGTTTTCCCGAGATTGTCAACATTCCAGTGACGTTGTCGGAGGGAAATAAAACAGCATTTCCCGAGGGAACTGACATTAAGTGTTTTGTTGTATACAGCTATTTTTCTATTGAATTAATGTTGTAGTCAACTGTGCATTCCAATACCTAATTTTTAATATTTTAACTGTTTTAGTAGATAAATTTAAAAATACCTTTCTATTTTGGCAATTCGTGGGGTATACATGCTTGATTTTCTTGGTTTGCATTTAATTTAACGGTGCAACACGAATAGAAATTTGCAAATTAGGGACAAACGATTGAAGTTTGTACATACAAATAATGTGCTAACTGCTGCACCACTTACTAATCCTACGAGGTGATATATTCCCTATAACATATAACTCATTTCCATTATATTCTTCGTTCTTGGATTGTACATTTGGCTATTGCTTAAGCTTGTGACAAACATAATTGAAATAGCCGTAGTGTCACGAAGCAAAATAAACAACACTCATACATTCAACCATTATAGTATATTAATGAAAATTCTTTAACATAAACTATTTTAACAATACAAGAACGTATTGAAAATATTTCAGCACCATTCCCTGTTGCCTGTTGTCTATTTTTTTAGGCACTGTATTTTTTTAATAAACTGTGAGAACGTTATTTAGTACAAACTTTCGGCTCCATTTTGTGCATTCGGTCGGAGCGGGGGAACATGCAACAGACCTTTATAAAAAGGTTGACGTCAGCAGGCTTGTGACGAAGTTTGCGGAGAAAATCCCGAAAGCTCAGAGTTGTTTACTTGTTTTTGAGTTTTTTAAAAGCCAAAAGAAGCCAGTATTATGGTAAGTACGTTGGAAGTATTTTTTTGTATATATAGGCCAAATGAGTTTTCATATTCGTCGTAGTTTAAATTTTATTTGTTTTTATATTAGATTGTACATTTATTTTACTGTCAACATTTAGCAAATTGTTCGCTCGGTTTGTTTACATATACTTCGTTGCTAAAAAGTATATTGTTTCTTTTTTGTTTCTCAAATTCAGCAGTCTAATCATCAGAATGGCCCCAATCAAGTTGTAGACAGCAATACACGGGCTCAGTGATCGTGCAAAAACATTAAGAGATAAATAAGTGAACTTAGACTCCGAGTACATCTTGTACACAATGACTCGTATTAAGACTGATAAGTCTATTATTTTTATCGATATAGTTGACAGAAAAAGACATACCCGGGTCGTAAATTGGCAAGGATATTGAAAAAGCTACCAAAAATAACTTAAAATTTCGGCTGAAGTGTAGAGATTTAAAGTTTAAATCTTCAGAAACGAAAGCGGGGCTGTTTACACTGATGAATTTGAGAAACAAAAAAGAAAACAACGAAATATGTGTAAACAAACCGAACGAACAATTTGCTAAATGTTCATGACAGTAAAATAATGTACAATCTAACATAAAAACAAATAAAATTGATACGACGAATATGAAAGCTAGCTCGTTTGGCCTATATATAGAAAAATTTGCTTCAAACTTACCATAATTCTGGTTTCCTTTGGCTTTTAAAAAACTCAAAACTAGTAAACAACTCTGAAGTTTCGAGATTTTCTCCGCAAACTACGTCACAAGCCTGCTGACGTCAACCCTTTTATAAAGGTCTTATCATGCTCTTGTTCCTTCGCCGGATGCATTGCGGTTATCTAAAGCCACGTGACCACAAATCGGCCAATCACATTTAATGTTAAGCACTAGCTATATAGCGATAATAATTGTAGTGTTCTGTTTTTGTTCTCTTTTTAAGTGTATCCTCAACCCCAAGATACAATATACAGAATTCTCATCTGTAATAAAGAAGCAAAAGGAGGTATATATATACATATATATATATATATATATATATATATATATATATATATATATATATATATATATATATATATATATATATATATATATATATATATATATATATATATATATATATATATATATATATATATATATATATATATATATATGCTAGTTCTATTCGTTTTACTGCATGTCACTGCCATGGAAGGATTGATAAAGGCATCAGTAAGTTCATTGAAAAAGTGAAGAAATCCCGCCGTCATGTTCTCCTGTACCATCTTGCAGTATTCAATTAAACTGTCGACCATCAGTCGGGTATTTTCCGAGCAAAATGCCAATATGTGGCTGTTTGACATCGCTCTTGCACGAATGTTATAGCCATAGGCGTCGAAAGATCGATAAGTGAAGAATTTCTCCATCATTCTTGCAAAGACCAAATCACAATCTCGTACTGTCTATAAAGGGTCTTCGACGGCGCGATTGTCAAAGCAAGCGCCTTTCACCTTGATTGCCGCTGCGAATTCATGTGAAAAGAGTCGGTCAACGCTCTACCGAAAGTCCTAGGTCCGGTTTCCTCCTTCATGGAATGTTGATTGGGTGGGTTGGGAAAAACCACAACTGACCCTTCCACCATACAGCTGTGCTCCGTGTCCAGATAGTTATTAAGGAGTTTAAGATCTTGGCGACGAACTACCGACTACGTTTGAAATAGTTTTTGTTATAAGTATGCAAATACTAAATGCTTGTCATAACAAATTTATCCAAGTATGTTTTATGTGCATTGTTTTGTGTTCGGTAAGTTTCATCTTTTAATTTTCACCATTTCTTTATAAAAATACTCTCCAACCTGCAACATTGCGTAGTCAGTTCGGTGCCATGTTCTTGATTCTGTTTTACAATACAAAAGGGTGATTTTTACGTTGTAGCCAAGGTCGCTACGGTGAAAAGTATGCTCTGGGGATATGTAAATGTGGTCTTCCTCTGTTAAATCAATGCGAAAACCGGCTTTCAACCGTACTGCGTACCCGTTGTTCGTTGTCGGCATCTTGATCTCCCTAATAAGGTGGGCTGCCTGCTCCTCTTGGAAAGCCTTCGACTCGATGAGGTTGAGCTGCGTCCTTCGCAATTCAGTTTAGCTCTCAGCTGAAAATAAGGCTGATTAGCCCACCCTCACTTAGTTGCTTAGTTACAAAGATTTCTCATTCCTTTCAACTTCGTAATATTGTGAGGTATACTGATCAGATAAATTGCTGTATATTATATTAAATTTATTTTCAAATTTCGTATGCAAATGAAATAATCACAATGCATTGTACTGTAATTTTTTTCTGTTTTGAATCTTATAAATAACCAGACATTGTATTACAGTGCAGTGCCCTGGAGCATTCGACATAGTATTTTTGAATAAATACCAAGGCTTCTATAGGATTCCGAACAAACTAATCGACCAACCAACTAAGGGCCTCTTTCTATATGAAGGCGAGTTACCCGGGAAGACGAGTTACTCGCCCAGGCGAGACAAACAAGCGCTCTGTTTATATGGAATTTGAGTTACTCGGCATTTGCTGCATGATTGCGCATGACGCCAAAACACAAAAAGGATTTAAGCTGTTTGAACCGTTAAAAACATTACAAAATGTCGTCAAAATACAAGAATAAGCGCCGAGAAATTCAGGAAAATTTATCTATCGATTCGTATGTTCATACATTCTATCTCGGGCGGCCAAGTTACTCGAGTAAGGTGTTTATGTGATAAGATATTCATATCGACTAGGCGATTTCCCGCCTCTTCCTGCCGGGAACTCGCCACGCCCAAGGCGAGTTACTCGGCTGCTGATCGTGTTACCATGAAAACTACTTCAAGTACTTCATGTTAGGAAAATATTGTGGCTTTGTTCGCAAGATGAGCAGTTTCTGCATGCACGCATTTCTAGTATTAGACATATGTCAGGCCAAGTTTTTAAATTATATTGAACCCTACATGTTACCACTTTTTCTATCAACTTTCTTTGCTCGTCTCAGTTGAAGTTTACCAAGTTTCCTAGTGATGTATTCTTCCTGAATATATTGAAAACGTCTTTTTCTGTGGTATTCATAATCGCGGTACAAATTGTGCCCTCGCCTTCTGCGATCAGTAATATTTTCAAATAATGGCCTTCATGTTGTGATAGCATTTGATGACAGATTGTCTACCTAGATTGTGAAGAAACTGGTTCAAAAACGGCAAGATGAAATCAAGAAGATATATCCTGGTTTGACATGTTTTAAAGAAGGTGTAAGGCAGATTCCTGTTGAGAGTATTCCTGGAGTGGGTGAGTTCATCCATCTGTTGCCAGTTGTTTTAATTGAAGGGGAAAATTCTGAAAATATTCCCATTTTCTACATGAAGACCAATCACAAGAGCCCAGATATATATATATATATATATATATATATATAAAGATAATCTAAAACGTAACATATATATATAAGATAATCTAAAACGTAACAAAATGGAGAACATACACGTAATGGTAATGTTAGTAGCGTTGTAGAGTGGAGAGGGACAGTGCCAGTGTGCCACCCTATAGTAAACCTGCAACCTTCCTTGCAGATGAGGTTAGGTCCGCCACTGATACATTGTGGTGAATTTTCAAACAACCGATAGACACGTTTGATCTCTAACAGTGCACTTTGCCATAAACTTTCTGTGTTAGATTATAAGATGTATCTCTATGACTGTGTATTTATCTTGAGTTCACTACCAGATGAATGAGTGTTTACTAGTGCAAAAGGCTAACTGACTTGAGCTCCCAAGAATTTCGTTCGCTGAGCTCGATATGAAGAGGACATACTTAGAATCTCGCATTCATTCATGGACTTTTTTACCATTCTTTTCAAACCGTAATTTTTTCTCAACTCTGTATTTCTTATTTAGACGAGACTGGATGGAAACCGCCCACTAAGGCAAGGTAATTGGTGCACGTCTGATTTTGAGAATTTGGTTTGCAAGTAGGTTTCAACGCCATCAGCCCGTTGAAAACATTAGGTCACGTCAGCTAGTTTCCTATCCATTTATTTTATTATCCATGCTTTAATTAAATGGCTTTTTCGATAAACTTTGAGTTTGCAATAAAATGATTTCAAATTCTCGCATGGAAATAACTTTGCTTTCTTTTTTATTTAAAAAATTCAATATAATAAAAAAGGGAATCAATATTAAAGATACACTGAAATTATATGCCGTCTTGTTTAGTTGTTTCATATAAGCAAAGGCCGTCGGGTTTTAAAGCAATTATAAAATCAATATTTAAGACAAACTTACCTTCGTTAACGTCGGCTCCCTTCTTTTAGCCGATTCTTTCGCCCTTTCTTTCTGAGAAAGCTTTTGAAATTTACAAAATCTTGCAAAAATGCGAGCAAAAATGAAATATATTTGCAAGAAATTTATCAATCATCAAATCAAGAAATGTTTGCTATTTCGCTGTCGTCATGCAGTCGTTATAATGCAAACTTTAAATTGGACCAATCAGTGTCCGCTATTCATGACAGTCCGCCATATTTTTGAGATCAGAGAGGATGACCACGGTGGTCACCCGCGATCGTTGATGTCAGATGAACTTTATACTTCGCTATTAATATTAATGCTTTCGTTTCCCCGGGTGTAAGTAGCCGGGGGGAATTAGTACCCTCGCACGGCACTTCGCGCCGTCGGCTCGGGGAAAAATTAAAACAACTTAATTTAAGAAACTTTCTCGCGCATACAATGAATGAATGAAAAGGAAAGCTGTACATGTTTTTAATAGGCAAAAATTGAACAACAAAGTCATACATACACAGTCAAAACAAACTTGGCAAAAACGTCAGGATTTCCTAAGCTAAACCAATTCATATTTTTTCTTCAAAAATTGTGTTAAACTTTTTGTGTTAAAATGATTTTCCAAGCTTTCTTACATGCTTTTTTATCTTTGTTTCCTTCCCTGGCCTTCAGCTACAGTTTGGAGGTCAGTTTAGGATGACCACCCACGCACAATGAAACATAGCCATGCGCCCGCGCGAGTATTGATGACCTTTAGACTTCGCCAATGCATTCCTTTTCCCGGATGTAAAATGCCATGCGGAATTAGTACCCCGGTCCGGACTTACCCCGGATAATAACGATTTAAAGCCTCTTTTTTGACCAGTTTCTCTGTTTCGTGTGCATGCGCATGTATTTTGCGCAATAGATTATTATTGCCATTATTGTTGTTAGTGATTACAAAGTAAACAGCCGTATTCCCTGTACCATGAGCACCCCCCACCCCCTCCCCTCCCTGATGTGTTATCATGTCCTAACCGGAAATATTTTATTCAGGGGCGTTGAATCTGTTGACCGAGAGAAGCTTTCTGTTCAGTTAAAGAACATTTTGACACAAGTCAAGGTTGGTTTATTGTAGCAAGAAGAACAACTTTCAGCAATAGATAAAGCACGCGTGACTAGTATCTTTATAGGATTTATCATAGTGCAAAACCCTTAATATAAATTTCAATCATGCATATTGTCTGACGTTCGATTTTTGCGTAAGAAGTAATGTAATATTATATACGAGAAAGCGTTTACAATATCGAGGAGTATAAAATACCAGAAAGTGCTTTGAAATAATACCTTTTCCAAGTGGATATATAATTCCTGCAGTGACTGTGCAATCACAGAGATTTTTAAATTTTAATTTTGCGTGTATATTTTTTATCTCTTATTCTAGAATCACGCGAGCGCCTGGCCTTTCATGAAAGCTGTCGAAGTGTCAGAAGCTCCAGATTATTACGAGTACATCAAGTATCCAATGGGTAAGTTGTTATACGTACAAAAGAAAGTATTAAAGGAGATATTGCATTAAACAGACATTACATTTACATAACAGTTATACTAAATTTACAAAGACATATTTACATTACCATAAATGATCTGATAAACATACATAAGTGCCTCGTGTCTAATAAACCTCCCGACCAAATCACTTATTTGAAATCGAGGGTTTGTAATAAATAGAGAATAATATACATGGGTGCGCGGAAATACCAGATTTATTTCGAGTGTTGAACATGATAATAGTTGAGAAGAGATTACACCTCCCAGTGGTCATTATGCCATTTAAATGTATTTACATTTAACAATTATTCGCCGAAGGTGAGGCGATTATCAGGGAATATTCGCCGAGACGAAGTCGAGGTGAATATTCCCCGATAATCACCGAGCCTGAGGCGAATAATTGTTTTAGTATTTTTACACAAGGCTTTTGTGTTTTTGGGACTGAATTTATTTTAATTTCGCTTATTTCTTTATCAGTAATTTCCACAAAACGTCTAGCCGCCATTCTGAAAATTTCGGTTTTGTTATATTCACCTACAGGTGAATATAACAGCTTAATACGTCAAATTTGACCAATCAACATGTAGGATTTGTTATGTCCACTTGTGCAAAAATACTAATTGATTTTAGTATTTATTGAAAATAATTCAAGAGTTTTGATTGGCTAAGAGCTGTCGGTGAAATCGTCTGTCCGCTCGGTAGCTGCCCAAATTTGGGGTTAGACATCATCGTGGAATATTGAAAACAAATAAACCACGTTATAATTATTGACGTAATTTCGTGATATATTGAAAAACAATGTAACACGCTATGACGTCACGCTAGTGAATTAATTGTTGCCCTGCTGCTCTCCCCGCTGTAAGTGTACAGTCCTGTTAGATGTGTATTATGTTTGACTTTAAAATCTTATTTGCTATTATATTTATTTTTAATAAGTGATGAAATATTTCAATTGTCCAATGTCATCTTCATTATTCAATTCCTTTCAAGAAAATGCAAAATGTGAATCAAGTTTTTTTGCTGATACATGTACGCGTCGCGTTCTTATGTTTGTGTATTCCGACAAGTAAATAATAAATCAATTGAATTCGGTTCGGCCTCGGCCTTAATTTAATAAGTACTAGTTAAAACATGAGCAGCCGATCTCGCCTTCGGCTAACGTGAAATTCAAACCCTAATTTTAAATAGGGCCTGACACAAAACCTGTTATCGACACGATCGTGAACTGTCGCAAACTAACCGTAAACTGTCGATTCCGCCTTCCGCCTATGATTTTATACTTCCTGTTTCTGGAAAACCACAATAATTTTTCGAAACCTCGACCCTGGTTTACGTGTTCATACATTGGGTTATTTATAAATAAAGTTGTTTTAGTCTGTATAGTCCTGCCAGTGCATTATTCACTTCAATCACTTGAACAGGTAAATAAAGCAATTTTGAATTCGAAATAAACAATTGCTGATTTTGAATATATAATATTTGGTCTTTCTTGGCGTAGCAGTGGCCTTTACACAAACATTTTCGTACATATTTGAACCACTGAAAACTAAAACTAGATGTTTGCGTAGGTAGGACTAAACCAGAAATAAAATGAAATTCCTATTTCGAACTCAACTAAAACTAAAATAAAATTTCTGTTTCAAACTAGAACTAGATTAAAACTAAAAAGAAATTCCTTTTTCAAACTAGAATTAAACTAAAACTAAACATAAATGACTACATTAAACTAAAACTCAACTAAAACTAAATTGAAAACACCATACTAAAACAACACTAGGATACAGCATCAGTCACATCAAAGAGTTAAAACACCTTCGTGGGAAAATACAAGACACGCGATCAAAGAAGATATAAACAGACTGGTTCAGAACAGATTACGTATGTATTCTTGTTCTACGAGTTTTCTTAGAGCCCATTTTTCGAAACTAATAGGTCTGAGTGTAGACTGATACAGCACGGCGGCTGTGGTACATCTTCTAAAACCAAGTTATCCTTCAGAACTTCCCTACAAGATTCCATCTCCCTACAACAACATGCTTGGTGTGTGTTTTGTATATGTGTTAACACACAATGGCCGCATTTACACTTGTGAAATACGATACAGGTGAAGTTTGATGTGACTGATGCGCCCTATCCAAAATATATCAGCCAGAGTTACTTATTTTACGTTAAAATGTTAAAATAAATCTATGTTTATGCTCACCACGATTTAATATCTTCAAGGCCGTCTAATCATCGCTGTAGCATCTCGTTTGTTCCTTGTGTTCCGCATATTCTTAGATATCGCGCGTAGTATTCTTCGCTCGCTAGCGGTTCATCGGCATATAAAAGGCTTGCATCATAATCGCCTAAAATTTCGCTACCAACTGCTTCTAGAGTTCCAATTTCGTGACTTGTATTCTGAGTCACATTGAGAACCATGAGTCCTGGAAAGCATACAAAATACAAACAAATGTATATAATACGCGTCGTGATTAAGTCCCTTAAGCTACGTCACACAACGCTCGTCCCAGACTCTTGTTGATACGCGACATTTTCACGAAAATCGCTGTTTAGAGCTTAAAGAACCTATTAACTAACTTTTTGTACTCAAAAAAAAAGTGACATAAGCACTTTAAGAAACGACCCATCTTATGAGTTAATTGGGGAAGTAATTTTAAAAATAAACATTGTCTAAGCCGAGAAAATCAAAGCTGAAGTTGATGTAAATCAGGACAAATCTTTATCCGATTTACAAACATTAGCTAAACATTCATTTCTTTTGTATTTTCCTCCTAATTATTAATGAGTTTTTTAATTTCTCATATCCTGCTCATTCAATAATTGTTTAATATTTTAATAACATCACATCATAATATATTTTCAATGCATCATATACCCTGGATTCCAGAGCCTTCGACAGTAAATAATAAATTGAAACGTCGCGAAGGCTCTGGTTCAACGGGGAGATTCTTTGATTGAACCGCGCCAATCACAAAACAGAAACCACTAATTCTGTTTTGTGATTGGCGCGGTTCAATCAAAGAATCTCCCCGTTGAACCAGAGCCTTCGCGACGTTTCAATTTATTATTTACTGTTGAAGGCTCTGGAATCCAGGGTATGCATCATAATGACTTGGTCCCAATATTTTCATCTAGACCTGAAAACGATGACTGATCGCCTCAAAGCTGGTTACTACAGCACCAAGAAACTTTTTGCTGCAGACATGTTGAGAGTTTTTAAGAACTGCCGTACGTACAATGCTCCAGACACTGAATACTATCGCTGTGCCAACACGATGGAAAGATATTTTCTCAGTAAGATTAAGGAAGTAGGATGACCAAGACTAGTCACAAAGTGAGCGGACGTTTGAATACCTTGTATGTACAACATAAGGTGTGGTAAATGATGTAAGATATTTGCAGTCATTTTTTAAATGGTATTCAAAGGGATACGGCGTGATAATTGGGCGTACTTATGTACATAAGATACGCCGATATTACCGTCTGGAACTTCTATGGTTTCAACCATGCAAGTACTATGTGTCCGTGTACTTACATTTTGCTGGTACCAATGACCAGCAAACTTTCTAACAGTGGCGGATTACCGAGTAGGCTGAAGCCTACAGACGCAGACTTTCAAGAGGTCCGTGATTTTGAGATAATGCACTTTTTGTTAGAATTAATAGAATTAATATCTTTTGTCCTAACTATGCGACGAGAAATTGATATAGCAGCTAATTAAAAAACTATAAGTTCCTTGGTTTGACCTTCACAGTAACGCTTACACCCAATTCAACTGGGCAATGCTCAGCACTCATGAAGTACTGCCATGCATAATTTCCGAACGGGAGGAGCGCAAACGTCGACAAGAGGCTAAACGTAAATGAATTTTAAAGGTCCAGCAATGTATGAGCCCTGTTGCATGTGCCCGTTCGTTTTCGTTGTCCAAATCTAAGTCGCAATCCGGCACTGCTTTCTAAGCTATTCAAAACCGTGTTTAAGTAGCTATGTTGGAGTCAAATGTATATGTTGGTATATGCGATTGTCAGTGTGGATTATAACAGTTTCGTTTGGCCATGGGTCTGACAATCTTGGACATAGATAATAATCATCGGCCATTTTTTTATATCCTTTATCCAGAAAAAGTACACGTTAAGTATTGTGCTTTTATCAGCTGAAGAACGCTGCAATAATCAATGGCGTACGGTTAGTAAAGTTAAATATCTTGAGTCATCGCAACTTCAGTACATACAGTAATACAATGCCTGTTTGCAGTCTTTAGAATATTTTAAAGGGGACAAACGTTAGGTGGGCAAATTGTATTGCTTTGAGAGATTCTTGAGTGGGTGGGGAGAGCTATGCCCGTCATGTTATACGTCATCGTGCATATATACGTTCCTGTGAATTCATATTGGGGATATTAAAGATGCGGTACCGTCCCTTCGCACGTGACAAATTTGTTTCCATTTTTTACATCCAAGGAAATTACCTGTATACTCCAACCAGTAGAACCAGGCAAAGAATTTTCATCATTTTCGATCAATCTAAGAAAAGATAAGATGTTCGTTTAATCAAGCAATTGTACGTAAAGAGGGCTTGGTAGCAATGTGATTCGTCGAAACCAACGCGCGAGAACTGATCAGCTTTCAAAATGACTAATTACAAGGAGAGTAAAATCAGAAAAGATGCCCGGAATGTATATATAAATTAATTGTTTCAGGTTTCCGATAATCTCAGCAATAACAACTAATTGCTGCCGAAATTATCAAAATCAAAAGCTAATTCAATGAAAATATCGTTTATAGTTGTGCTGCTGCGAAAATCTGGAAAGTCATATTATAGGCACAAAAATAGTGTCACAGCGGCAATGAATTCATATCGCGTTACTGTGCAATGTACTGTGTTCATCTTGTTATTTGATATAATTATATAGTTATATTTAATTACATAATTTTTAATATTGTGAACACGCTGTTACACGTACGGCGCTTTGAAAGCGGCTCTTTACTTCACTAACTATTGACTGTATATAACCACCACCATGTATAAAGATGATTTTCAAATAAATAAATATTGGTTCAGCTGTGAGAAATTAGTTTCGTATAATTACTCTCATACTGCAGAGTCCCACGAAACATTCGTTATCTCGAGCATTTAAGTCGTCGCGAAAATATTTAGTGCACCTAAATTAGACACTACTGCCTACAGATAGCCTAGATCAATTCGGAGAGCGGCAGTGTAGAAACCTGAACATGCGAGTTCGAATCCCGCTCCAGACGGCTAATTTTCCCCTTTACTCTGCAGTATCAGAATGATATGAAACTATAGTTATTCGTATGTCTGAAAATGGTTCTAAAATCAGCTGTGAGAGATTCACCTTTTACAAAGAAGGTATCGGATTTGATAAATCCTAAGTCTATAAAATTATTCTTATTTTGCACCAATAAATATTATAAAGCTGACAAACTATACTAAAATACATAGTGTTAATATGAAGGCCTGCTTTATTTCGTTCGTGGCCTACCATGACATGCATGTTCCCCGTTTTTGACACCACTTTGTTCATCCTTTTCAGTTTTCCCACCTGTCTGGTAAGATGCGTGTTACTGTGTTTTTGTTCTTTTCTCTCTTTCGACTTCCGAAAGTAAATAAGTACAGTTGAAGAGGATTTGTTTGAGTTTAGCGTTGGTGGACAATTCAGCCTCAATTAGTTGATGCATGCATGTACTCTCTCAAACTTCAATTTGCATTCCGGTTTTCCCCCTATTTAATCCCCAGCCCCATTTTACCCACCCCCTTCTAATCACCCTTCATTCCAACGTCTATTTCACCCCCATCTTATAACAATTGAATCACTCTCAATATTAACTCAAATATGAACAAAACTGTTCTGTTCAATGATGTGACCCTGTTGTAACGTCCACCGCGGATGTGGCTAAGTAATGATAAATTGTATGGAAAATATCTCCAAATGTTTCTGCGCCCATAATCCGGTAAGTGCATATTTATTTAACTTGTGGTCTCTATTTAGCCCTGCCCCCTTCTAATAAGTCCCTATTCCCGAACCACTGGGAAAATTCCCCTCGTGGCTAAAGAGATGGAACACGGTATGCAACCTCTACTATATGCCTGTTTACTCTTGAAATTTCTGCTGCGATTTTAAGGTGCGATTTTCTTGTTCGGATGGATGTGACCGAGTGGATAAGTTATGAATGTTCATTGGAAGGTACATGAGTGAGGCATACGCCCGTATTCTAAAGGTTCACTCACACTCAATGAGTGGAGGTTCAATCTCAGCTTCTCTTGAGTGTTAATGCTGTTTTTGAATAGCTGGAGGGCTAGTCTCGTACCTTACTCGGTGACTACTCACCCTTGTGAGTGTGCTTTTAGAATATGGGCGATAAACTCAGAACATTTATAACTAATTACTCATTGATCTCTATCAGAAGAAGAAAATAGCACTAGAAAACGCAGTAAAAATTGCAAGTGTAAACGGGCCTTAACAAACCACCTGTCAACCCTCTCCAGACAATTAACAGCTGCAATAGCTCTGGACAAGAAGAAACCAACTTCCCGACGTGAATCCACTTAAACTTTAATGTCAGTTTAATATATAGTTTTGGCTGACAATTGTCCTTCACATTTTTTCGGACGTAATTGTCAATCAAAACATGCAAATCTCAATGAATTTATTGCCTGGGGAAGATCGTTATGATTGATATGAATGATAACTAAGAATCAATTAAAAGTGAAATGTTCAATGAATTTTGTGGACTTTTACAATACACGCACCAACCACTCGCTCTTTCTTAAACCGAAAGTACGACTTCGAAAGGTAATTCAATACAGCTGAAGAGGATATTTGAATTTAGTGTTGATTAGCCTGCGTAGCAGGCGTTTAGTGCGGGCGGGAGAAGAAAGGGCGTCGTTAAATAAACGCCTGCCCAAATGCCTATGATTAATTTGTTCTTCTCCGAAGAATCTTCGGAAAAGCTTCCCATTGGTTAATCTCGTTAACGGAAGTAATTACGTAACTCAAATGTCAACAATAATTTTGCTCGCGTTGACGCGTTTATAGTCGCGTATCAAAATATATGCCGCCTGTTAATGCTTTCGAGGAAACTTTCTTATATTTTAAGTATTTAGGCTTCAAAATTCAGTTGAAGCAGAACAGAGAAAGTATATTATTAATTTGCTACGTGGTGAAGACGCCGGTTATCGCGATTCTTCCTAGGAATACGGAAAAGTTTGATCTTTCAATTATACATTTTAAATATATCCTGAATATTTCGTTAATATAGTTGTCTTGTTATTTGTTCACTTTAAAGTATAATTCAAGACCAGATAGTTGAGGCTATATCACTTGGCATTGCAGCTATGAGGTTGAATGATGATTTTAAGAATATGAACATTTCAAAACATGCTCAACTGTTATATTTGCTATACGGCAGAATACGTTAAACAACCGTGGTTCAGGAGTCTTTTAAAAGATAAAAGCTATGTGCACGTTGTGACTGACTGTTGTCTAAAATAGCTTCAAAAGCTCAATAATTCATGAGGAAAACACAAAGAAAAATCATAAACGTGTCGTATCCTTGATATGTGATAGAGATTTCCCTTGATTTACATAAATTTTAATGATTTTCTCTACATATACACACCGAATTTTTTGAAAGCTACTTCGCCAATGAACGTATACTAGATCGGTCGTTTTTTAAGCAATTTAAAACATTCGCAGTGCGTGTTTTATCAGACCATCTTTATATCTGATAAAACACTGCTACGCGTGCTTTAAATAGTGCATAAAATCTCTGCAAACTCCGTAGTTGCCGAGCAAAAAGCATGCATGATGCTAAATATAAATCTCGACTATGATTGGATAATGGGTGAAGGTGCTAATTACAAAACGTCAATCATCCTTAATGGGCGAAAACAAATTGTCATAGCCAATTTCGGCGGTTAGATGGAAAACACGGAGTCGGAGTCCCGGAGTCGGAGTCCCGGAGTCTGACGTCATAAAAATATGGAAAACACGGAGTCATATGGAAAACACGGAGTGTGACGTCAGAGAAAAATATGGAAAACACGGAGTCTGACGTCATAAAAATATGGAAAACACGGAGTCATATGGAAAACACGGAGTCTGACGTCATAAAAATATGGAAAACACGGAGTCATATTAGGCCGTGAGATGAGGGTCGAAAATATGCTTAGAAAACAGATTCCGTAGCACCCCTCGTGTAACTACATAATTTTTACATGAATGGATAGATTAGAACTTACTTAGTTAGAATCCACTTCCCCCCAAGCGAAATAGTTGCACAAATTGAAGTACAACCACTCCAAAGTTCATGCTTCGTCGTATTTCGAAATCCACGAACCGCCATTGTTGTGTTGCAAATACGCATGCGCTTGACCACAAAACACTTAATGCGCACGCGCAGATAACAAAAACTGATCTCAATCGAGAACTGGAGAAACCTGGACAAGAAAAAAATTATGAAATGTGCGAAAGAAGGGCTGAACTGAAACAAGATGACGTCGGAGTGTTTTAAAAATATATGATATTTTTATGTTTTGTGCATTTTAATGGTTTTTTCCAAACATTCTGAGCAATTTACCGTGTCGAGCCCTGGCCAGGAACACTTCCAAGCCAACATTACAATAACAACTTATTCAATTTTTTTTTGTTATTTAACTTATTTTATACTACAGCAATTGCATGACGTTTGCAAGCGAATTTGTTTTCAGGCTTTAAATATTATTATAATCCTAAACATTCTAGACCACGCATACCGTAATTTCTCTATCATTTTAATAGGGGGAGGGGGAGGGGGGTAATTCTAATATGTACAAAGAGTCTGTTTGCAAATTTGATTCTCTTTAAATATGCAACATCGGGTACTGTAAATATCAGTAAAATATCATAATTAATTAATTATCTTTCAAATACAATACTTTCATGCTTCACGATTTTATACATTAATTAATTGGTTACAGGAGAAAGGTGTGGGGAATAGGGGGAGGGGGGGTTGTTGCTAAATATGAGTTTTACTTGGTGTTCACAATCTTATTTATTTTCTAGATCTTTTCCTGTCAATTTTATTAGTCCAGGGTCGTTGTTTATTATTTCCTTTGCATCTAATCCATTAATGAGAAAGAACGGAGGTTAACTCTAAGCTGACTGGAACTTCATTACGCACTCGGTTTTTGTATCAACCAATTTCGTGTTCAAACAGTCGTGTTATGTTGTTGATCATGCACTTCTTTATCACGAACGCCTTTTCGCCAATCCAATATATTTGTGCCATAAAAAATTCTCAGTTCATCAGAAAAACAAAGAAGGAAACAGCTTAGTAGGTTGTAGGAGGCATTGTTATGCAACAGCATTGCGTGACGTTTGCAATCTAATTATATTAGAGAGCTTAAGCTTCGCATTCAACGACAAACGTCAGGCAAAGAAAAAAGTTACGCTATAAAGCAATAAAAAGTAAATGGGCTTGTTGTTTTATAACTAGAATGCTTAACTATTCTTGTGCCATATGGAAGAAAATATGACACGCAGAAATCGAACGAACATTATGCCAAGAAAAGTCGGTCTTGCTGTTCCCGCAAACGTGAAGCTTAAACCGGCTCCCTAATAACTTGCGCATACGACGCGCACATACCAAGAGAAAGGGAGTTCCCGTCTTATCTAATTAGCATTAACAGCTTTTACAGATACAGATACAGATATTGCACAGCACACTCCCTATCAGAGTTTTTCAGTGACTGGTTACATACTGCTTTTTCCGCAACACACTGTCCATTCTCACTCAAGTAAATTTAAATATGTCATCCAACAGCATTAAGACGCAAATCGGAACAAGATCAACAGATCACCCAACTCAGACTGAGTAATTTGCTCTTTATCAAAACATCACTTCTCTCCAAAATGTCCAGAAGCGTAGTCAGGATTCTTGGTGAGGGGGGCAGCAAAAACCTTGGTGGGGCCATGTTCTTCTTTTTATAGAATAAATTTTCTCAGGGAGCGCCAAAATTTTACCAGGGAGGCGCCCCCCCCCCGACCCCCAACCTGGCTACGCTTGT